CAGGTGTTTTTGGGGTTCCCCCCACTGCCCCAGGGGATTTTGGGGTTCCCCACAACCCTTATCCCTCCCTAATCCCCCCAGGTGATTTTGGGGTGTCCCCCGCGGGGTTTTTGGGGTCCCACCTCCCCCCAGGTGTTTTTGGGGTGCCCCCACGCTGTTTCTGGGGTCCCACCCTTCAGGTGATTTTGGGGTGTCCCCTGCGCTGTTTTTGGGGTCCCACCCACCCCCAGGTGTTTTTGGGGTTCCCCCCACCCCCCCCAGCTGATTTTTGGGGTTCCCCACACCCCTTATCCCTCCCTAATCCCCCCCAGGCGGTTTCGGGGTGCCCCCGCGGTGTTTTTGGGGTCCCACCTGGGCGTTCTGGGAGATTTTCCGCGTTTTCTTCTTCTCGCCGCGCTCGTCGTCGCCCTCGCGCGCCTTCTCCACCGTCCACTCCCAGGCCAGCATGGCCTTGAGGGACTCCTTGATGGGCCAGCGGTAAATCTCCTTGTCCTGGGGAACCCCAAAATCGCCGGGGGTCAGGGGGCACCCCAAAATCCGGGGGGTTTGGGGAGGGGTCCATGAGGAGGGGGAGGGAAGGGGCTGGGGGCTCCCAGCGTGGCCTTGAGCGACTCCTTGATGGGCCAGCGGTAAATCTCCTTGTGACACCGGGGTGAGGATGGATGAACCCCATGAGAGTCTGGAGGGGGCTGGGGGGTCTGGGAGAGGTTGGGGGCTCTCCATGAGGATCTGAATGGGGTTGGGGGTCTCCATGAGGATCTGGATGAGGATGGGTAGGGTTGGGGGCTCTCCATGAGCACAGATGGGGTTGGGGGTCTCCATGAGGATCTGGGTGAGGATGGGGCTCTCCATGAGGGTCTGGGTGGGGTTGGGGGCTCTCCATGAGCACAGATGGGGTTGGGGGTCTCCATGAGGATCTGGGTGAGGATGGGGCTCTCCATGTCCTCATCGCCCCCTACCCCAACCTCTCCACATCCCCCTCACCCCCATTCCCACATTCCCACCACTGCCACACCCAGGTGTGTCCCCAAAGTGTGTCCCCGAGGTGTCCCCCCCAGGTGTGTCCCCCAGGTGTGTCTCCCCCAGGTGTGTCCCTGATGTGTGTCCCCCTAGGTGTGTCCCCCAGGTGTGTCCCCAGGTGTGTCCCCAAGGTGTGTCCCCGAGGTGTCCCCCCCAGGTGTGTCCCCCAGGTGTGTTGCCCCAAGGTGTGTCCCCAAGATGTGTCCCCAAGGTGTCCCTCCAGGTGTGTCCCCCAGGTGTGTCCCCCCCAGGTGTGTCCCCGAGGTGCGTCCCCAGGGTGTGTCCCCAGGTGTGTCCCCGAGGTGCGTCCCCAGGGTGTGTCCCCAGGTGTGTCCCCGAGGTGCGTCCCCAGGGTGTGTCCCCCCCAGGTGTGTCCCCAGGATGTGTCCCCAAGGTGTCCCTCCAGGTGTGTCCCCCAGGTGTGTCCCCAGGTGTGTCCCCAGGTGTGTCCCCAGGTGTGTCCCCCCCAGGTGTGTCCCCGAGGTGTGTCACCCCCCCGTAACCCCACCTTGTGCGCCAGGGAGTCGAAGATGCCCCAGAAGAGCTTCCTGGTGAGGTGCAGCTCCTCCTCGGAGCTGACGCCCATGTTGGGCCAGCCGCTGGGCAGGCAGTAGTACCTCCAGCAGCGCTCGTAGTGGTTGGTCAGCAGCTGGGGGGACACGGGCCGTCACTCTGGGGGGGACAGCGCGCGGGGACAAGCGCAGGGACCCCCCCGGGGCTCACCTTGAGGGGCATCTTGGCGAACTCGTTGAGGATGGGGACGTCGAAGACGAGGCGGCGCAGGAGGTGCTGCAGCATCGAGGGGCGGATGTACCTGGGGGGAAAATGGGGGGTCAGGGGGGTCTGGGGTTCACCTGAGACCACCGCGAGACACTCGGCGGGGTCACGCTGGGCCTCGGGGAGGGACATGGTGAGTGGCTGGCCATGGGATTGGGTTGAGTGTGACAGCTGAGCTGATCATGGTGGTTGGGTTGGCCATGAGGGTTGAGTTGACCATGGCAGTTGAGTTGGCCATGGCAGTTGGGTTGGCCATGGGGGTTGGGCTGACCACAGGGGTTGAGTTGGCCATGGGGATTGGGTGGACCATGGCAGTTGAGTTGACGATGGCAGTTGAGTTGACGATGGCAGTTGAGTTGGCCATGGCGGTTGGGTTGGCCATGGGGGTTGGGCTGACCACAGGGGTTGAGTTGGCCGTGGCAGATGGGTTAGCCATGAGAGTTGGGTTGACCAGGGGAGTTGAGTTGACCATGGGGATTGGGTGGACCATGGCAGTTGAGTTGACGATGGCAGTTGAGTTGGCCATGGCGGTTGGGTTGGCCATGGGGGTTGGGCTGACCACAGGGGTTGAGTTGGCCGTGGCAGTTGGGTTGACCATGGCGGTTGGGTTTGCCATGAAAGTTGGGTTGACCGGGGTTTGGCTTGGCCATGGCGGTTGAGTTGACCATGGCAGTTGGGTTGTCCATGAGAATTGGGTTGACCATGGCAGTTGGGTTGGCCTTGAGAATTGGGTTGACCATGGCAGTTGAGTTGAACATGGCAGTTGGGTTTACCATGGCAGCTGGGTTCCCCATGAGATTTGGGTTGGCCATGGCAGTTGGGTTGGCCTTGAGAATCGGGTTGACCATGGCGGTTGAGTTGGCCATGGCAGTTGGGTTCCCCATGGCAGTTGGGTTCCCCATGGCAGTTGGACTTGACCATGGCAGTTAAGTTGACCATGGTGGTTGGGTTGGCCATGAAAGTTGGGTTGGCCATGGTGGATGGGCTGGCCATGGCAGTTGGGTTGGCCATGAGAATTGGGTTGACTGTGGGGGTTGGGCTGGCCATGAAAGTTGGGTTGACCAGGGTTTGGGCTGGCCATGGTGGTTGAGTTGACCATGGTGGTTGAGTTGACCATTGTAGTTGGGTTGGCCATGAGAGTTGGATTGACCATGGGAGTTGGGTTGGCCATGAAAGTTGAGTTGGCCATGAAAGTTGGGTTGACTGGGGGTTTGGGTTGGCCATGAGAGTTGGGTTGTCCATGACGGTTGGGTTGACCATGACAGTTGAGCTGACCATGGCAATTGGGTTGGCTGTGGCAATTGGGTTGGCCATGAAAGTTGGGTTGGTCATGGCAGTTGGGTTCCCCATGGCAGTTGGATTGACCATGGCAGTTGGGCTCCCCATGAGAGTTGGGTTGGCCATGAGAGTTGGGTTCCCCATGGCAGTTGGGCTCCCCATGAGAGTTGGGTTCCCCATGGCAGTTGGATTGACCATGGCAGTTGGGCTCCCCATGAGAGTTGGGTTGGCCATGGCAGTTGGGCTCCCCATGAGAATTGGCTTGATTTTGGGGACAGATGCAGACCCACGGGGGGCACGGTGCCATTTTGGGGCCCGATTCGGGGTCCCACCTGCAGAGGGCCATGAGGCACTCCTCGATGGCGTCGCGCTGGGCCTTGGTGAGGGCGCGGCCGCGCGACAGGCGGTAGATGGTGTGCAGCATGGAGTCCACCATGATGGCGCGGTGCTCGGTGCCCGCGAAGAGCGGCGCGCACTTGGTGATGAGCGGCATCACCGCCAGGCACAGGTACCGGTTCAGCGCCAGCGCCATCTCCGTCGTGCTGAACGTCGCCTGGGGGGACACGGGAGTGTCACAGGGTGGGGACAAACCCTGAGGGGACGTGGGGACAGGGGACAGAGGTGTCCCATAGGGGGAGTTTGGGGATCCGTCCGTGGGGGAGATTTGGGGGGTCAAATAGGGAAGATTGGGGTGACCCCAAATCCATACCAAAGGGGAGATTTGGGGCGGTCAAATAGGGAAGATTGGGGTGACCCCAAATCCATATGTCCCATAGGAGGAGTTTGGGGATCCGTCCATGGGGGAGATCTGGGGGGTCAAACACGGAAGATTGGGGTGACCCCAAATCCATCCCATATGGAAAGTTTGGGGGGTCAAACAGGGAAGATTGGGGTGACCCCAAAATCCATACCAAAGGGGAGATTTGGGGGGTCAAACAGGGAAGATTGGGGTGACCCCAAATCCATACCAAAGGGGAGATTTGGGGCGGTCAAATAGGGAAGATTGGGGTGACCCCAAATCCATCTCATAGCTGAGATTTGGGGGACCCCACACCCACCCCATAGGGGACATTTGTGGGACCCCACACCCACCCCACAGGAGGGAACAGGGCTGACCCGAGGCCCCCTGAGATGACCCCAAATCCATCTCATAGTTGACATTTGGGGGGTCAAATAGGGAAGATTGGGGTGACCCCACACCCATCCCACAGGAGGGAACATTTCAGTGACCCCACACCCATCCCATAGGGAACATTTGTGGGACCCCACACCCACCCCACAGGAGGGAACAGGGCTGACCCGAGGCCCCTGCTGCATGTCCAAGGGACCCTGTAGGGAGTTTTGGGGAGCCCCGGAGTGTTTTGGGGTGCCCCTCACCGTGTCCAGCGAGGCGGCCGCGCGCATGTCGGGCAGGAACCCCACTTCCAGCACGTGGAGCAGGAACTCCTGGTTCTGCACCCCATAAACGCGGTCCAGGAACAGCACCATGGGCGCCTTGTGCTCGGGGACGAAGCTGGCGGCCATACGGGGCTCCACCACGTTCCCATCTGCGGGACCCCAAAACTCAGGGCACCCCAAAACTCCCCAGTCAGCCCCAAACCCTAAAACAGCCAGGAATCCCCCCAAATCCAGGCGTACCAGAGACCCCAGACCAGCTGGCGGCCATGGGGGGCTCCACCACGTTCCCATCTGTGGGACCCCAAAACTCAGGGCACCCCAAAACTCCCCAAACCTTAAAACAGCCAGGAATCCCCCCAAATCCAGGCGTACCAGAGACCCCAGACCAGCTGGCGGCCATGGGGGGCTCCACCACGTTCCCATCTGTGGGACCCCAAAACTCAGGGCACCCCAAAACTCCCCAAATAGCCCTCAAGGCTGATGACCCCCATCCCAGTCCCCATATTTTGGGGTGTCCCCATCCCAGTGACCCTCCCCATGTTTGGGGACCCCTCCCCACCTTTTCCCAGCGCCGGGAGGACCCCAAAACTCAGGGCACCCCAAAACGCCCCAAACAGCCCTCAAGGGTGATGACCCCCACCCCAGTCCCCATATTTTGGGGTGTCCCCCATCCCAGTCCCCACATTTTGGGGTGCCTCCCATCCCAGTCACCCTCCCCAGGTTTGGGGACCCCTCCCCACCTTTTCCCAGCGCCGGGATCTGCAGGGGGAGGCTGATGATCCCCACCAGGTCCTCGAGCGGGACGAGCGAGCGCAGGATGGCCCGGATCCGCAGGGCCTCGCCCTTCCCCGCCTGGATCAGCTGTGGGGGTCACATGGGGGGGGTCACACCCCGAGTCCTGACCCCCCCAGGACCCCCCTGAGCCCCCCCAAGCCCCCCGGTCCGTACATGCATCTCGGGGGCGCAGCGGCCCAGCAGGTCGATGAGGGCGGCGTAGAAGGACATGATGGCGTGGCCCAGGTGCACCCGGTTCTCCTCGGGGGGCTCCTCGGGCCCGAACCTGGGGGG